AGAAGTCATTTATAAATATATTATATATATATATATATATATATATTTATATTAATTATTGGAGAGGAGGGATCCTATGACATTAAATATAAATTTATAACAGCTTTATTAAAATTAACCCTATATAAATATACTGGAAGTTTCCAAAGAGAAAAATACACTCAGACAAGAGAGATAAAGATAGAAAAAGAGTGGAAGCTTGATGCTATTCTTGAAAAGTATCTTTTCAGCTCAATCACTTTCAATAAGGAATTTGTCATATTTTGTCAAATCAGATCCACTTAGAGATGTTTAGTTTCTACTTACATCCCAGACATATTAAGGTCAAGAGCTACTAAAGAATGGTAGTGGAACTGTTTGGATGGTCTGTAGACTCTGGATTTGAATCTCTGAGCTACTTTATTGTTGCTTTTGTTTACAAGATTCCGGGTATATGTAGGTCTGTCTGGAAAGGATTCAGCCATATTAAATATCTCAATGCTTAATTTGGATTTTTGCTTAAATTTTCTTGATACTTTGACTGAAGATATGTTAATAGTGGCATTTCTTTGTATTTATTTATAATTTTATTTATTGCATTTAAGTGAATTATTTGTCTTTACCTTCATATTGTCTTTGTATTGTCAGCTGTATAAAAACATTCTCTTATATCAAGGATTAAAAATGACTTCCCATCAAATGAATCCTGTAGGTCTTAGCAAGGACCATCTTACTTCAAACCTTGTGGACTGGTGCTATGGAATCACAAAGAACTGTACCAAGTAACAGATTGTATCACTTGAGACTTTTCAACAAAATTCATTAGCAAAAATGGCTAACACATAACTTGATGTGAAAATAATGATATGATCAAAATACTGATGTTCCACACTGCTTACAAAAGAAGGTTAGGATGGTAACTCCTATCAATAATGGAAAGATCAATAATAGTAAATTGACTTATTTAATAGAAACATCTAGATATTTTAACTGATGGTAGCACTGACTGTTTGGTCAATGAATGACAAATGTTTATTTATAAGGAAACTTAATATTACCATTAAATAATTGTTTGGGTTAAGTAAGATCCATGGCAGGTGGGGAAATAAATGGATTTAAACAACAAAGATAAGAATGATTATCTGAAAAATATCTAAAATATAGTTAACTATTAAGTAAAACTCCAAAAAAAATAGATTAAATAAGAAAAATCTCTTGGACTGCTTTTTTTTAATTTCCCTACTCCAAGACTTTGCTTGTAGAATTGTGAGCATAAAGAGAGATGACAAATTTAGAATTGTTATTCCACAATCTTTCACTCAAAGCCATTTGCTATTGTAGATTTCAGTGCTCAAATAACAATTAAATATAATTAGATTAACTTGTTATGAGGTAAAAATGAAAATTAATTAAACCTTAAAATAACTTCTTTATTCTGACAACATGAAACCAATATGTTGCTTTAATCAGTTAGATTGCAATAACACTTAAAAAAAGCTGCAGACATGAATATAAAGAGAAAGAAGTGACTTTAGTGTTAATTGGTACATATCTATTAATGAGATTACATAAACAAAGAATAAGTCAAACATATCTAATAAGTTTGTTTTTGCTACTAAAAGCTCGGACATTATATGGTCATTTTGTTTTATTATCAAATTTTAATTGCAAATTTAAAGATGTTTTAAGACTGGGTGTCATTTTAAGGTCTTCAGCTAATGTTTACTTCTTTATTAAACAAGATACTACCTAAAAGTTTGTAATTTAGATGCAAAATGGCTTCCTCAAACAAAGGAAGAAATTGGTTAGAAATGACTATTTTCTACTGGAATGATTTCAAGAGATATGTGAAATGTCTGATAAGACATAAGAAATAGTAGGTAATGAAACAAATTTAGGCATATTGGCAACATTCATTGAACAGCCAGTCAGTAAATTCAATTATAGTAAGCCTATCTCATTAATAAACACACTTTGGGATGTGTTCCAGAAAGAAAGGGATCAAATTTTATTTCAACATTAGCATAGACATAAGTGAATCCACAAAATTGGGGCAAGAAATTCAACCTATTGACAATTCTCTGTGACCAAGAATGAATTTCAACCAACATAGGAGGATTTCTTTCTGTTGGCAAGTAATTGACTTTTTCTTTTTAAATTTAGATTCTTCCACATAGAAGTTGAATTATAGGAAATCTCTCTCATATATATATATATATATATATATATATATATATATATATATATATATATATAATATGTATGTATGTGTGTGCGTGTATTTGTGTAGGTAGGTCAAAAATAATCTTTCACAATTCACTTTGTGAGTCACTCTTCTAACATCCTGTGGACTATTTAAAATTACTTTCTTGGTATACTGTTTGGGATTACCTTGATTATAGTGGTTGACTAATCTTGCTTTTTGTATTTATTGCTTTGTTTTGACTTTTTTTTTCTAAATCACTTTGCTTCCCATTGTGCTAAATAATAACCATGTCATTTAAATAATAACTCTGTCACTTCTTTTAATGCTTTTCCTTATATATATATATATATATATATATATATAATAAGTCTGCAGCCTTGTGATGAAAAAAGTATTTATACAAAAAAATATTTCTTTTTCAAATTAATTTCCTTTTGGATGCATTTAATTCAGTGAAAAATATCAGTCACATACACAGATACATCAATAAGTCTGTAGGCTAATAATGAAAAAGTGCAGCAAATATTTTTCTAACAATTGATATAAAAAGTGGCTGTTTTTATTGTATAATTGTATCAAGTGAAGACAGACCTTAAGTCATACTTTCTCTTCAGCTATTGTTTTTGCAATGATTCCTGATATTATGTATGAGCCTGGTTTTGGGTTTATCAGCACACTCACTCTCTATGTATTTTCTCATTAGTAAATCCTTTTCTCTCCTGATCAGACTGGCATTTAAAAGTCAAAATTGTGGCAAGATGTGTTACGGTGAACTACCAGGCCATTCAAAGTGTTGTTATGCAACATATCTCTGTGAAGCTTGTATAGTCAGGGATTTTGAGATGTTCCACTAGTAAATATCATTGGGAAATTTGTACAATTTATTTTGTATATTCCTGCCTCAGTTCTGATGTTGTTATTTCATTTGATGCTAACTATATCTCTTATTAGGATTATTTAATACAAAAAAACATTTATATTTTTCAAAGGATGCCAACTTAGCCTTTCAATGGTGAAACATGTCATTAAAAAGCTTTTCTACTTTGTCTCATTTCTTTACTACTCAAATTCTTCATAGCATGTTCACTATAAGCTGTTTTTAATAATACTAACATTTTGCTAGAAATGTTAGCCAGACTTCATTAGCACACTGTGGTCATGACTGGAATTGTCACAACTAGTATATAGTAGATTTACCTAGTATTTTTATTTAATTTGTTTTATTTAATTATAAATAATCTAAAATTACCCCAATTTTATCTTGATACTATTAAGTATTTCTTGTTTGTGCCATATTCCTTTAGGATGTGAGTGATCACAAAACTTCACAAACTCCTATCCCCTTCAGCTCCAATTAACCTTTGTTGCTGTCACTCACTGCTTTCTCCTGCCCTCAATATGTGCTGTGAGTGTAAAATTCTCCATGCTCTTCTTCCACACCACATATCCTAGAAATTTCAACTGTCTTCCCCTTATTCCAAGTAAAAGTGTCCTTCCTGTTCTTATTTTCCTTTAAAAAAAAAACCTTTCCATTTTTGTTTTTTTATTGTCTTGAAGTCAGAATACTACAACCACTTGACTGTATCCCGTTTGCATGTGAACACAATTCTTACTTTGTGAACTTTTTGCCTTATTGTTATTTTGCCTAGTTTTGACTTGCATAAATATTATTTGATTAGTATTATCATGTCCTGTTTATTGTTTTCCTTTTCTTATTATTTTGGGAAACTTTGTCAATTCATTTGTTGAGCATTTTTGCCAATTGCCCCACAATTTCAACTTCTATTATAACAGTTAAATACCCTACTTACTTGAGTCCATTGGGTTAAAATATCTATGGAGCTACCACCATGTTTGTTGGCAATAGTTGACAAGCTACTATTGGGAAGTGTTAACTGAACTCTATATTAATAAATGATTTGGTTCAATATTCTAACCATTTGACTATCACCTGGTATGAGGGATGATTTGGATAGAATCTAGGCAAAATATTTTAACTTGAGAACTGTGGAGATTTACCACACTTTGGGATTCACTTGATTCCATTTGGTACACACATAATTGGAGAAATGAGATCCTTTAAAGAGAAAACAGTGGATGCAGATTGTTGTGTTTTTAAAAGATCTCTTCCTATTATACCTAATACCAGCACAAAACAGTTGATGTGTCAGCTATTTTCTTGCATTTTGGGAAGGTAGGAGATTGTCCCAAAATGCATGAAGGTTATTATTGCTGTAGTTCTAGTCTGAAGAAGAAATATAACCCTTTTGTTATAAATATGGTGAAGAATTAATGGAACTAATTACAGCCTGGTGTGTTCAGCAGATAAACCTCTGGTAGGGTTCACATGTCCCAAAATTGGGCACTGCTTGGAATAATTAAAAAAATAATGGCAAAGAAAAGGTACTACAAAAAGGAACTCTCTCTCTGTCTCTCCCCATCTACCCGAAAATATATATTTATACAGTAATCCACTGAACAAAATCAACTTTCTGTCTCAATAGCTTCAGAGAGAGAAACAGGAAAGTATGAAAGAGGAAATAACTTGGTTATGTGTGAGAGTGGATTTAAGAATCCGGGTGGGGGACTGCTACTGTTTCATTGATGGAGAGTGCCTGTATCATTCTATGATTTTTCTCCTCACCCCCATAACTCTGTTGTTAGTCATCCATTTCCTCCTCCTTCATCTTTCTTGATTGCATCCTTAATCTGGGATGACAAACTTCCCTCCCTACACACTGCCGAAAAGGAATAAAACAGAAATGCAAATGTTATCTCTCTTCCTCATACCACTGCTGCAAAAACTAGAAAATCCATGCTTCCACTTTTCTTTCTGATTACTTTGTATTGTTTCTCTCTCTCTCTCTCTCTCTCTCTCTCTGTACTGTATCCTCTCTTTCCCTGTCTCTTTATAGCATCCTCTCTCTCTTTATCTTCACAATGACTTCTATTCTCACTTTTTTCATAGTGTTTTCTCTTCTCAGTCTCTCTCGTAGTATTGTCTTCTCTCAGTCTCTCTCTTTCGTATTGTCTTGGCTCTCTTTCGTATTGTCTTGGCTCTCTTTCGTATTGTCTTGGCTCTCTTTCTCTCTCTGTATTGTCTTGGCTCTCTCTCTCTCTCTCTCTGTATTGTCTTGGCTCTCTCTCTCTCTGTATTGTCTTGGCTCTCTCTCTCTCTCTGTATTGTCTTGGCTCTCTCTCTCTCTCTCTCTCTGTATTGTGTTGGCTCTCTCTCTCTCTCTCTCTCTGTATTGTCTTGGCTCTCTCTCTCTCTCTCTCTGTATTGTCTTGGCTCTCTCTCTCTCTCTCTGTATTGTCTTGGCTCTCTCTCTCTCTCTCTCTCTGTATTGTCTTGGCTCTCTCTCTCTCTCTCTCTCTGTATTGTCTTGGCTCTCTCTCTCTCTCTCTCTCTGTATTGTCTTGGCTCTCTCTCTCTCTCTCTGTATTGTCTTCATGCTCTCTCTCTCTCTCTCTCTCTGTATTGTCTTCATGCTCTCTCTCTCTCTCTGTATTGTCTTCACCTGCTCTCTCTCTCTCTCTGTATTGTCTTCGCCTGCTCTCTCTCTCTCTGTATTGTTTTTGCCTGCTCTCTCTCTCCCTGTATTGTTTTTGCTCGCTCTCTCTCTCTCTCTCTATTGTTTTTGCTCTCTCTCTGTATTGTCTTTGCTCCCCCTCTCTTTATACTTCCTCCCCACTTCTCTCACTTTCACTCTGTTTTATTATTTTCCTTTCTTTTCTCTGTCTCCTGTTTATCTACTTCTCTGTTCTCACCTATGATTTATACATTTTCTCCAACTCTCTCTCACTGTTTCTGTTCTTAGTATTTATTCTTCTATCCTCTAACTTTTACTCCTACCACTTCCTCATACACTTACTTCTGTCACCAATCTATCTCTTCCCACTTTCATCGTTTTTCTTCACATCCACACACCCCCTTGTCTCTGTAGATGTCACTTCTCATGACTCATTTTATGTTGTGTCTCTGATTTGGGGAAGGGAGAATTTTTAATTTTTTCCCTTTCAATTTTTCAACTCTTGAATAAGATGACAGTTTAAAATTAAAAAAAAAATCAACTAAAAATCTTTTATTTGATTCAAGATAGTTTTTGTTTTACAGACAAAATAAAAATTTAAAAAACTATCAAAACACTTATTAGTAATAATAAAAAAAAAAAATGAATATCTTTCAATAACTGAATACAGAAGATCGTTCCAACTGCAATAATTAGCAGACTTTACCATCTTCAGGTCAACTCGTTTACAGATATAAGAATTTTGATTTTTTTGAGGCAGGTGCCTTTAAAATTTATTTATGAAAGTGATTTCAAGCAGCCATTTTGATTCTGAGACACCAATTTCTCAAAGAAGTCAAAATATAAACAAATGAAAATAATAAAAAAAGAAATATTTTTGTAAAAGCTTAAGTTTCTAACGTGTATTTATCAAAATGATCAGAGCATTCTTTGTATTTGTGAGTAAAGCTCAATACTTAAATTATAGGGTTACAAACAAACATTTTTAATTTCTCTTCTAGAAGTAAATCCTAAGATATAAAATATCCACCAAAGAGAATGAAATTTTAAGATAGAGTACTGAAATTTGAAATATCAAACTACTCCATTTTGTTTACCTTCTATGTTACTTCATGTAAAAAGTTATTCACAATGGGATTTGATTAGATTAAGATGGCTGATTTTTGTCTAAAATGTTTTGAGTAACTGCAAATGCTAACAAAAGAATTATTGGATATAAGAAAATCCAACAAAAATAGAAATAATCTTTGACTAGGTTTTTAGTTTTCATAAAAATGTATCCATGGTAGAATCACAAAAGTTTAAAAAGAATAAAGATTATTTTGAAAATATATTTATAGGTAAAGATATTCTCCTTCATTCTGAGAATCCATTATTATTCTCAGTGTTACTGGTACTATTAAACTCAATCTTTGTATTTATTTTGTTATTACCAAAATGTTTGGCTGCGCCTTCTTCAAATGTATATAGGGAGAAAAAGGAGTCTTTCTCTTTAATTTTTTTTGCCATCATTTTCTTGTTGATTCTAGCTTCTAGGAAAAAATGGTCCTTACCTTTCCCCATAGTTTATATATGGTAATGATATTAGCCATTTACTTATGTGAAAACAGTCAGCATTCATTGAGTTGCCAATGCTACTGATGGTTAAAATTTATAAAATCTTTCTCTTAAAACAATTTTTCAAGAAAATAAGTTTCTCAAGTCCAATAACTGTTATTGCTCTTTCCAGTATTGATGGTTGTTTCATTCCTAACCTTTTGTTTAAAGTAGTATGGGACATCATCATTTTGATTGTTATTATTTGCACTTAGAGTTATATATGCTAGCCATTTTAATTATTACTGCTGCTGCTGGTAGTCCTCAAGTGATGTGGTTTCTGTTATTTAGTATAGTTGTTTGTAATTCTATAGTGCCAGTCAATGTGTTTCAAAGTAGGATAGTCCTCACTAACACCACAAGGTTTCATATTTCTGAATAAGTTTGATGGCATGCATGACATTCATATGAAAGATTCAATCTGATGAGGATATTTCAGAACATTATTTGATGTTCTTGGGTAAGTTTTTTGGGTTTTTTAGCAACTTGAAGTGTTGGGGGAAATTAAACCTAGCACACACATTCTGTGTTCATTTTCGTTATCTCCAATATTAAATTTTTTATAACTGATCCACACACTGATATATTTGGAGATGTTGAAGATGAGAAACCAAAGTTGTATTGTTTTGTATGGATATTATACCTATGAATATACAAGTGCAAAGTGACACAAAAGTTACCCGTTTGAAAAATGGAATTAGTAAACCAAGTTCAAATTTTGGTTAAGGCTGCTTATGTTTACTTTATACACATGCCCTTTTATCTATTGCCAGATATCTTGAGAAAATGTCTAATTCCTGACATGCCACAATGATTAAAAAGAAGAGTGGAGGAGTGAGCACTTGGGTAAATTGTTCTTGTAATAGAAAACCCAGGTATTATCTACAAAATGCTGCTGCATAGTCAATCTTGATTGAACCTATTAAGTACAACAGTAAATCTTTAATATTTCTGGTAAACTCAATCTCAGATTAGCCAAATTATAGAAAAGGATCTAAACTAAATCCATGTTTGATTTACAGAGCTGCTATCAAACTGGATGAAGTTTTTTTTTCTCTTCTTGGTCATGGTTACAATGCATTTCCACTCAAATTTATTTTTTTATTTTACATAGCCCATGTAGATATCTGTGTGCCAGAAAATCATATTCAAATCCTGTATATTTCACAAATCTTGAAACCTATACAAGATTATTGGCAACTCTCTTCTCCTTGATTTTTATTTAATCCTGCATGAGCACATCAAATATTTCTGATGGATCAATAGGCTTTATAACCAGTTATCTTAAAAAAAAAATCCCCCTTTCCAATACAACTCTTTCTGTGATGCACTAAGCTTCAGCCAATATCCACAAATTGTAAATCTTTTGTTTTAGCTTATTTTTATTCAAAGGAAAGAAGATTTAAAAGAATAAAAAAGAGAGAAATAGAAGAAAAAAAAATAGAGATCATTAAATTACTTTATAAATGAATTTTGTTAGTAAGGTACAGTAAAAAAAAATCCTCATTAGGGGTTGAGAAAGTAGGGTTTTTGGATGATTGAAAACTAAGAATTCACTGAAATATGTGATTTTTCTTTTTTATCTTTGTATTTTTTTTTGTATTGTTTGTTTTATTTTGTGTGTTTTTGGGGGTTTTTTGTTTGGCATTTTTAAGATAAAACTAAAACTAGATACATGTTCATTCTATGTTTTTAATAAGCAACATCTATTTTGTCATCAAACAGGAAGTTTTATTTGTTTATTTATTAATCTGTTTTTTGAGAAAAGGAGCTCAGTTATTTTAGCAGAAAGAATTTAGAAAGAGAAACCAAAATTTGGTAAATATCATTTCTATCTGAATCATCTTCAGATTAGAAAATAATTAAATCATATCTCTAGATCAGTACTAAAGTAAGATTCCATTGGTTCTTGGCACACATGTAATATGAGGCAACCAAATATCTTCAAAAGAAAAAAATTGAATTTATTTTTACACCGCCAACAAGAATTAAAATTTCAAATTTTTACTTTGTGTAATTTTTGGGAAACAAATTTCTCTACATCATTAAGAAGTTCTTGAGAACGTGTTTTTCAATTGTTATGGAAATAATATTTCTGACACACACACACACACACACATATATATATATATATATATATATATATATATATATATATTGTACTAATTAAACTCCCCCCACTTTTTTTAGTTGGGATATGGTAAAAATAATTGGCAAGGGAACAGAACTGAAAAATAAGATGGTTGAATGAATCAATGCATGAAAATGCTCAAGTCACATGATCAGCACATCAAGTGTAAATATTTACAGGATGTGATGGGTAAATTGTCACCATTTTATATTTCATGGTTGCACATTGTTTGTCTTTGATTTTGTCAACTGCACAGTATAATAGGGTAAGCAGTGCTCCATCTCTGAGAAATAGATCACCACAATGCAATTCACTCTGCCAGAAATTTGGAAACAGTGTGTTGTATTGCTTTGCATTTTTGCCAGAAGCTGCAATATGAACATTTCAAAGTGTTTGGGTGCCAATCAGTGCAGAGGGTTTGGAAAGAGTTGGATGAGTCTAATGGAGATTACAAAGGTGTTTGAAGTGATCACTAGTGATGTCAACATTATGCCTCCGTTCATCTTTCTGCCAGGCATCAGACTCAATTTGGAGGCCTACATCAAGTATCTTGAGAAGATAGTGCTGCCCTGGATCAAGAGGGTGGCTGCTGGACTCTGCACCATACCACACAAGCAATCACTGCTGTCAGACAATTTCTGTGACACATCACCCATTCCATCTGGTCACCTAACTTCCCAGACTGCAACCCCCTTGATTATTATATGTGGGGCACAGTTGAGCAAGAGACCAACAAAACTCTGGTAAACATAAGATGAACTGAAGGCAAGGATTATGGCAGTATTCACCAACTTAAACAAGGAGACCATCCAGAAGATTTGCTGGAAATTCCAAAGTTGTCTAGAGGCCATGGTTGAAACTAATGGTGATTTTATTGAATAAATTTACTCTTCAGTATTTCAAGATATTTTTGTGTAATTTTGGTAAACATATCTGTTAAAATGAGATGTCAGTGTTATTTTCATTTTTGCATAATTTAGATGAGTTTATCCATCGCACCCTGTATATAGAAATATGGGAGACACTAGAAGGTTTGGAAAATATGGCACTTACAGGACATATCAAAACCTGAGGGAAACAGTGAATAACTTACCTAACAAGGTGTAAATGCAATATTTAAGGTTCCAAAAATGTGGAGAGGTACTGGATGTAACAGTTTTGGGGGAGAAGCAAGCAAGACCCAATAGAATGAAGTTCAACAGTTATAAAAAATAAAATAAAAATACAGACACCCAAGGAAGGTCTGAGTGTACAGCAACTAAAGCAACAAAGGTCAAGAGAATCACTCTTGAGTAAAGCAATATAATCAGTAGAATACCTTTTCATTCAGTGTTTTGTTTAAGAATTCTTAATATTCACCTAATACAGCAGAATTTTTAAGGTAGATTATTTAGAAATTGCCTACTTTCCTTAGACTAAAGTATCATGGTGTACCATGCTAGTGTAATAAGATGCACACTGGATCTTTGTTCAGCAGGCTACAATTTATTTTCATGTAGTAAGGTTAGGCTATGAGTGACCTATCTGATCAGATTACAAATCAAAATAGATTTGTCCAAATTCTAAATTTATAAAGCAGTATTTATTTATACATTTAACAATTATTCATGTTTCTTTCTTGGGTATAAATGAAGGAGGACTTAAAGTTGTGTTGATGCCTGTGAGCCTAAATAAAATATGAACAATATGATCAGCTTGATGAGATATATCATTGTCTAAATACTTTGTTTATACTAATATTTATTCATG